TACACCTATTGAGACAGCTCTTTTTTTTTTTGATTTAGATACACAGGCAAAAGTTTTCTTGTTTTGGACTGTTAGGTTCTGTGTTGTTAATGAATTTTTTTTTTTTACTTGACTTTTTGAGTGCTTAATGGGAATTTCTCTTTGAGTAGGCTCTGGCCTGTTGGCTTGGAATTGGCCCTGGTAGTGAACACAGTGCCAAGCTCCTTCTAATCCTGAATCTGTGATGCACCAGACACAGCCTGACAGGCAGGACAGAATGTATCTCCTCCCTTTCCTGGGTGATAAAGTAGGGTCTTTATCAGATGCTGGCTCCGGCCGGCATTTTGAACTTCCTGCTCTAGGCATGTGAACTCTCCCAAACCTCTCCCTTGTACGTTTCCCAGTCTTGACTTGTGCATAGAGCATTGTAGCATCGCAAAGCAGACTCACTTATGGGAACAACTTTGGTTGTATTAGAATCTTTAATGCCCAACTTTATATTAGATTGTAGCTTTTACTTTTCTCCCTTGCAAAGTCTAATGCTTACATGGTATGAAGTTGTCTAACTTACACACTTAGGTCTTTTTTTTTTTCATATAAAATTAAATTTTGAGCACACAGTAACTTGTTTAGGTGGATCTCCACACATAGGAATGTCTGGCCTGTGTAGCAGACCTAATGGTAGTACACACATGTAAATTGTGAATAAATGAACAGGCGCACGTTGTTGCCGTGTGTGCATGTTCATAGATTAAGACTGGTTAACAAAATGTTTGGAGGTCTTGTGAATCTTGTCAAGTAAAACGATCTGTAAATGAGTCATGGATGTCAGATAATTTCCAAAGCTATGTGGCTTGTTTTTACTCATCATTTACTTTCGTGTATAAATCTTTACTCTGTAAAAGTGGATTCTGGTCCAGTGATGACTAAAGATGTTACAAACGCTGGCAGCTGTACTCTAAGCATCACATTGTCCTAGGACCAGAGTCTGTATCTGTATGAATTACCCGTGTATTTGCCTATTTCTAAGAAGCATGCAAATTAGAAATGAGATGTCATTCTTTTGGAAGTGATTGTAACTATGTTAATATAACTGTTAATCATGTAAGTATAGTATATGAAAACATGTTAAAGATCAGTGTTCAAGAAAATGATGTTATCTGTACCTTCATTTAAAGAACCCCTTTTAAATTTCAGCAGTAGAGGAAATGCATATTCATTCCAGAAAAAGATAGAAAACAGATTAAAATCCCTAATGATTCTCCCCAAAGAAAATTGCCGTTAGTCATTATTATATTGATCTAAAATATGAATCCAAAGGGAATATCCTGTTTTATGATCTTAGACTACCTAGGCTTTCTTCTCCCCTTTGTGATAGAACGGTTACCGGGCCTGATGCCTGCTGGGCATTCGCTGCATCTCTATAGCTGTAGTTTCTTTATTAAGTCAGATTTTAGTGAGTAAATTATACTCCTTTTTGTAATTGGAAATAGCCATGTCATGTTGATACTTTTTATGTCTCATGACACCAGTGCCTTTTTGTGAATATTTGCCCAATGTCTGTCCTCCTCCTTTGGCAAGGCATGTCACTTAAAAGTGGAACATGATTTGGTGCTTTTCCAATCTGATATTTTATAATTAATGATGAGTTAAATGAATCTATGCACGAATCATTAGTTGTTAGTGATATTTGTGAGATTCTGCCAGCTATTTTAATTTTATTTCAGTTCATTGACTTTTTATGTATTTCTTTTCAGGCTTTTTGTAGTTTTGGACTTTAGCATACTGTTGTGTTACTGTTGTGTTGTTTGGATTATTGTGCAAAACACATGGCTGTGACATTCTTTAAAATTTCCATTTTGGGGTGAATTGATGGTCAGGTCATTTTTTTTCTATGCACATGAACAACAATTTATAAAGAAATACTAAGCCCAAAGTATTTTTCCTATTTGCACATCTATACTTTTTAAATATAGTTTTTGATATACATTGAAAACCTATGTTTCCACATTTCATGGCAAACTTTTAGTGTTGATATGGCATGCACTGTATTTCAGTGCTTCCTGCCTGTCCGATACATAGGCAGTGAAGTAGTCCTGATATGAGGATCACAAGTTGATGAAACTACAATATAAATTATAGTGATAGAGATCAAATTTAACATGCACATATATTAATAGATAAGCAGACAAAGCAAAAAAATCCAAGTTCTCCAGAACATAATTAATAGAAATATAAATTATGGTTACATATATTTTAACCATAAAATGTTTTTGTTTATTTTGATATTGTTGTTAAAAAAACATAAACATCTTCAGATGGACTGTATGAAATGGTAACAGTGGCTATCACATCTCTGGATATAGATTGATATTCAAAAGTCAAGAATTCTTCTCTATATAGATTTAGGTCTACCTAGCTGTATGTAACAGTTAAAACGGGGTTGGTTACTTTTATGTATTGGGTGAGACCTGATCACTACAGAGTCAACTCCTCCCTGAGGTGAAAGCTGTAGATGTTTATATGTGTATGGTTTGTTATTTTAGTTCTTACTGTAGCTCTTTTGTTTCACCTTTAGCAAACAATCTTGCTATAGATGTAACCAGATAATGCTTTTCTTTTTAATAATCTTTATATAACTATACTTTCTAAGTTTAAATCTGTAATTTATTCCCTGTCATGCCTTTTATTTATGCGTCATTTCCTTTTAAGATTTTTTTATGCATATGCATGTTTTGCATTTAACTATGTCTGTGCACCATCTGTGTGCAGTGCCTGGAGAGGCCAGAAGGGGCATGGGAATCTCCTGGAACTGGAGTTACCGCCAGTTTGAGCCTCCATGTCAACGCTGTGACAGGAGCCCAGGCCCTCTGAAAAAGTTGACAGTGCTCTTACCCTCTGGGCCATCTCTCCAGTCCTTCTGTGTCATTTATATATTTGTTTACATTTAGCTGTTGCATAGATGTAAATGATTTTAATGTAATTTTATATTTTAATGTGAAAGATGAATATTTCATTTATTATTATCCCCTTAAAAATTATCATTGTATTTGAATTTGAAAAGCATTACTGAGTATACCTTTCCATGAATAATACTGCTTTCCATCCTGTCTTTTGATCTTTATTTTGATGTAAGAGTGATTGATGCCTGTGCTAATTAGTGTTTCTATTGCTGTAGTAAACACCAGGACCAAAAGCTGCTTGGGGAGGAAAGGGTTTGTTTTGGCTTTCAGTTGTAGTCCATCACTAGGGGAGTAAGAGAAGGAATCTGGAGGCAGCGACTGAAGCAGAGACCATGGAAAAGTACTGCTCATTGGCTTGTATGTCCGTGGCTTCTTCAGCCTGCTGTATTTTACAGCTCAGGACCACCAAGTGAGGGGATGGCGCTGTCCACAATGGGCGGGGCCCTCTCATATCAGGCATTTGTCAAGAATCCCTACATTCCAGCATGATGGAGATATTTCCTTCATTGAGGTTCCCTTTTCCCAGCTGACCCTAGCGTGTGTCAAGCTGACAAACTATTAATATTCCTTTGTAAATAGTGTGTGTGTGTGTGTGTGTGTGTGTGTGTGTGTGTGTGTTGGGTGCATGTACGTGTGGAACAGCCTGTATGTCTGTAGTTGTCACTATTTGAGCTGTCTTTGATACAGTAGTTAAAGTGCAGGGCTCAGCAGGCCCTTTGTGCATTCACAAAGTTATTTAGCCACCACCATTTTCAAATTTTGTGTCATCTTCATTCTCTCCAGCTAAGACTTCTGCATTTTAACAGTTGCACCTGGTTCTCCTTCATTTAGATCTCAGGTACCATTTTGTGGATTTGTCTCTGTAAATATATCATATGGGATATGTGGTCATTTGTGACAACCTTGAAAAATTTAGTGCAATATTTTAAAATTTTACTCATTTCTCGTGGAGTACACATCAGTACTTTGTCAGTACTTCATTTCTTTCTTTTTCTTTTCTTTTTTTGTTTTTTTTTGTTTTTTTTTTTTTTTTTCAGGGCAGGGTTTCTCTGTGGCTTTGGAGGCTGTCCTGGAACTAGCTTTTATAGACCAGGCTGGTCTCGATCTTGCTTTTTATGTCTGAATAATATACTCCTAAATAAACCATATTTTACCATTCATCATTTGAGGGACATTAGATTATTTTAATTATATATATCATGAATTTGTCTTTCATAATCAATCAACCTTTATATGAATATTTAGGGTTACTCACCAGAATACGTTTTTTTTTTGTCAATTTGTTATAATTTCTTATTTTACAACACTAGACATTCCTATGTCAAAGTTTCTATTTCCCTATTTCTTCATTAAAGTGGAATGCAATGGAGTCAGAGCTATATTGACCACAGATAGTTTATTAAGAAAGTCCTCACTCGATGGAGCCAGCCCTGTTCAGCCAGGCGGGAGAGGGAAGAGAGCCTCACACTGACCACGCCCAAGTGGGCTGGTCAGCCTCACCTGTGCCAGCCCCCAAGCGGGCGTGGTCAGCATTTCCCCTACACTTCACACCTTCTTTTCTTCATGCATAGGAATGGTCAATATAAAAATACACTTTTAAATTATATCCATCTGTATAAATTCAAAACTTAGGTTAAATTGTAGTCTTTTTTGTTCTGCACTCCACTTAGTGAAAACTGTAGAGCATATTAAGTTGATGGCATCAAGGTCTGTGTTTCTGTGACAGTTACTTAGTTTTTATAACCCCCCCTAAAGATACAGTAATGTGATTTCTGAAATTCCGAGGAGAGATGGAGCATCTCCTGTTTTACCTGGAAAAATTGTGTAGCTGACTGCTTTCTGTACAGGAAACCTGTGCAGTCCAGTTGTTGTTTGTTTAATTTACAGTAAAGTGAGCTTTGTGTTTCATGTTTTTGTCACTTAATGACAAAGATTTGTATTTTACTATACTTGATTAGTATTTAATGATGAATTTAATCCTATGTGCAGCATATCCCACCCAGCTCTTGATTTTCCTAACACTTCCTCAAGTGTGTCAGGACTCTCCTTTCCCCACAGACAGTCTCCTGATTGACTACCAGTTCACCTTCAGCTTGCTACAGGAAGACGACCGCCACCACACCGCTATCAACTTCATCGCAAACCCAGAGCAGGTGAGGAGATGTCTCCTCCTGCGATGACTCTGCTGCTACGCAGGCATCCACTTTTCTGTCACGTTCCCTGTGATTTAACTCCTATGACTCCTTGGAGCAATTCTGTCCAAGTTTCTGAAGCTCTGAAATTTTCTTTTCATGACACTTGGTGATTCTGACAAATGATAACTCAGTGACTGTGAGTGTGTGATCTCCTGGTTTCTAGATCCATATACTTACTGGTTCAGAACATTCTTATTTACCTTGGATTCTTGTGCTTTGCTTGTAAATAAGAATTTTTCCAAATTTTAAGTATATAATCATAAGTATAAATTCTGTTACAAATAAGTATATGAATATATAATTTAAATAGGAGACTACCAATCAAAAATCCAAGCTTGGCAATTCTCTGACTCACAAAGACATATAAGTTTCATGAAAAGAAAACTCCAGAAACATGAGAATTTGAGGCGTGCTGTATCAGACTCACACTCATTTTTCAGTTAAGAGTATCATTGGTTTCCATCGACTTTTGTCTCAATCTAATGTTTTACTGAGTTACACAAATGTCTCCTTCACTATCATGTAATTCTACAAGCTTATGAAGATTAAGCATATATACTACCGATAGTAAATTTAAAAGAGTCCCAAGTTTAACAAAGTCTTGTCCATTTTTTTTCTTTAACCAACATCCTAGACATACCCCTGGTGCTAAGCTGGCATGAGAAGCATCTCTAGGGACACTTGCAAGATTTTCTTGTGTCATCCCTGTTAATTAAGAACAATTCACCCAGGACGATCTCGAAAGATAAAATAACTTATTGATGAAAGCTTTTTAATTTGCACTGGAAAATAGAATAAATAGATCTTTTCTCATTTGTGGGCTTCCAATGTTTTTTTTTCTTTTTATGACAGATTTCCATCGTATCTCACTGTAGATTGCCCCTGGTTAGCACTTGGATGTGAACCATTAGAGTGGGCTTCTGTGCCACCCAGTCTCAGTGATGTCCCCCATCACCACCAGAAATCTCTGGGACAGATGTCATTATTTTCTGGATTACCTGTGGTATCACAGCTCTGCATACAGTTCTACAAAAATCATCAGCCCTGAGTATGCTTGGAGCTTTAGTTAAGGTGCTTGAATTTCCCCAGAAACTAGAATTTTGAATTTGTAGAGAAGATACTAAAAAAGTAAGGATAGTTTTATGCTTACACTGACCAATTTGTTATGAACTTTTAATCATTCTCATTTTCATCCCACCCTGAATCATCAAGCACATGATATGAAGAGTTGACTTAAAGAGAAGTTAAGGGCTTGTGCTAAGGTATAAAGCACATGATATGAAGAGTTGACTTAAAGAGAAGTTAAGGGCTTGTGCTTTGTCTTGCATACACTATATACATGCTTTGCAGTCATAAAAATAATTATTGTGACGCTGGCGCACATAACACAGACACAAAAACCTGTCCCTTTGTAGAGGTTAGGCAGCCAGTCCTCTTTGTACAGCATCGTTTTCTCTGGGTAAAGACAATGATTAAACAAATGGAAAAGAATACATCTTGAACTACTGATAATTATAGCAAACTACCATTATAATACAACATCCTTAATTTGTATATAATTTGTATATAATTTCTGCTTAGAAATTATATAAAAGCAAAAGGCCAAATTATTAAAGAAGCTAAATGAGGAACTTTGGGTTCATCATATTTTTGTTAAAAAGCATAAACACTGTATGTATTTATTCAGTTGAGTATTTATTTATATCATACACAGTTCCAGATGGTTAATGGACAGAATTAAATCACTTGGTTGATTAATATGCATTTAACACATTTCCATCTTTTTAACGTTAATTGTTTTTCTTGATAGTCAAACAAAAATTTGGACATTTCGATTAATGCTTCCAACAACTTTAATCTCAACATCACATGGTCGGTGGGCTCAACAGGTAAAAAGAATTGTCATGTCTCTTCTACATGTGTTTATGCATGGAGGTTGTTCTGATTTACTATTCCTTTAAGTAAATAAAAGCATACAGTTGTTTTCCCTCACTCTGTGCTTTTACCGATAAAAATAGCAAGTAGTAACTAGAAAGCTTAATACCATACTTCCTTACTCAATTCAAATTAGAAGGCGAACAGTAATCTGCAACACTTAAGTATGGAAAATGATAACGTTATGAAATGCTGTGATTTTAATTAAGATAGATTGGTTCTTTAGTGTCTAAAGAGACTGAGATTTCAATTATTCAATTCATTATTGAAGTTACCAATTTAATTGTCAGCTCCGATATGTACATGAAACAAAAGTGTTGTGCACACACTGATATAGGTGACAAACTATATCTTTTCTGTCTTAGTTCTGGTTGGCATCAGGGCTAAGAGCAAATACATTTTTGTGAGCATGTCTGCCATAATAAAGATCCAAATTGAAATGATTGATTTTTAAGAAATCATGACTATGAGGCAGATAAACTGTGATATTGAATTATCAATGTATCAGGTCATTTTTCAGCACGTTTGCTAAGTGATGAGCGCAGGGAATCTGCATGTTAAGAGTGCACGTGAGCCACTTGGGTAATAGATCATGGGAAATGAATTTAGTCACTCTGTTTACTCATTCCGTTTGTTTTTACTGTTAAGGTGGAGGTCTTGCTAAGGCAGCTGGAAATGCTCTGTTCCATTTGGTTAATTTCACTAAACATTTACCGAGTGCCTGATATTGTGTTTACGAATTGAGCATTTACATAGTCTTTTAAATTGATGGCCTCTTTCTAGTTTTTTAAAAATAGGATGGTTTGATTTGTAGAAAGGCAAATAAATTGATGTTTTTCATTTTTTAATTGGATTAAGACATGAGCAAATATGGTTTGACATAACTTTGGTGGCAAGCAGAATGGCCTCTCCTTCTGGAGCCATATGTGCGTGAGGTTTGTGTGCTGGGGGGACATGCTTCCTTCTTCCTGCATAGGAGTCAGTGTGAAAACCAGAAATGATGCTGCCTCCGGGGTCAAGACTATTACAGAAGACTACCAAGTCTCCAAGCCAGAGCTGGTGCACTGCCGGGGAGCATTTTTAAGTGTGATATTTATACTGAATTTGTTACACTGTATTTCTGGCAAACCTGTATGCAGAGGTGCTCCTGGGCCTCCATGGAGAGCAGCCAGCGTGGCACAGTTTTGGTGATAGTGTTTTTGTGGTTCCAATGTGTAAGACTTTGTTGTACTATATATGCTATGACTTAATAAGGATCTCTGTTTCCTAGTATCAATCATATTTTCTCCATATTCATATTTTAGGAGGAACAATATCTGGGGAAGAGACTCCTATCGTTTCTAAGACAAATATACGGGAATACAGAGATAGCTTTTCCTATGAAAAATTTAACTTCAGAAGCAATCCAAATATCACATTTTATGTGTATGTCAGCAACTTCTCCTGGCCTATTAAAATACAGGTAAGCAGAAGGGCATCTTTTCTAATGATGTTCACATTTTCACGGTGAAAGAACGCTGGTTTGTGCAGAGAGATGGCATGCTTGCGCGTAGTCACTGTCTTGAACAGTAAGACATTCATGGACTCCCTAAGTTTTCATATATTATTATCTGTGATGAATGAATGATTCCACAAAGACACACGAGTCATGTTCAACCACCTAGAGTGTGGTAAAGGTTTTTAATATGTATCATTTTGTGGAAGATGCCATGAAGGTTGAAACAGCTGTGATGTTGGGGTTTTCTCATTATTAAATTAATGGGGAATGCCTTCATATGAATCAACGTGAAATCATATGTGTTTCAGCAATCTTTACTCTTTTTTTTAAATGCACACTGGGTGTAATTTATCTTTCCTTTAAGAGTTGGATTAACAAGCTCTGGCAGGTACATTTTATAGGACCCCTGACACTTGTAGTTGGTTTCCTCATTTATGTCCTGTATGTATTACATTTTATCTCCTGTTCTTTTATTGAAAATAAATTTTTTTCTGCACATCATATCCTAATTACAGTGTATTCTCTTTTACTCCTCCCAATTCTTCTCCCCTCCCTTTCCATTCAGATCCCCACCCCCTTTCTGTCTTATTAGAAAACAAACAGGCTTCTAAGGGTTAATGAGATATAGTAAGATACAACAAAAACAAACAAGTCGGAATTGGATAAAACAAACAAATAGAAGGAAAAGAGCCCAAGATAAGGCTTGAGAAATAGAGACCCACTTGTCTGCACACTCAGGATCCCAATGAAAACACTAAAATGGAAGCTATGGCCATAGGCAGAGGACCCCTGCAGTCCTGGGTTTGCTTCCTCAGTACCTGTGTGTGCTTTCTGACGTTGACTTAGAGGGTCTTGCTTTCCTGGTGTCATCCATCTCCTCTGGTTATAAACTCTTCCCACTGAGCACTGAGGCGTGGGAGTTGGTGGGGACATCCCATTTAGGTCTTCCACTCTGCTTAGTATCTCGCTGTGGGTCTCTGTGTTTGTTCCCATGTCCTGTAGAGGGAGATACTCTGATGATGGCTGAGCAAGGCACCGATCACATTTCTCTTGCATTTCATTTTCAGTGTGCTTATCGGCAGGCTACTGAAGCCTTCAGATCCATTTCTAGGAAATCTTTAAAAATGTTTTTGTTTTATTGCTAATTTGTACTTTGATGAAATACTTTTTGACATTTGGGATTTATTTACTCCTTTATTCTTGACTAAATTGAATTCACATTAGTTTATTGAACAAGTCATTTATACTAACCCCATTCTAGAGTGTTATGGCTTAAAATCTTTTAGAGATTGAAACAGTAGTAACAATTGTCAGCTTATGTATCATAATTAGAAATGTATCAATGTTTTGTTTATGTTAATTCCTGTGTTGATGTTTTATGAACAGAATGAGTCTGAGTCCGTTTTAAAATCATGTGTTTAATGATAAAGTTTTCATTTGTAATTTACTTTATCACTTAAATGGAAGCTAATGCTTAATGTTAAAATATTAGAGATTACTGTAGAGTTATTCATTCAAACTTATTCAAGAGATTTACATTCTACAAAGCAGATTTCTATGTTCATTCAAAAATTTTAGAAGTATCTCCATGTAATTCATACATTTTGATAGTGACAAAGATGTAAATTTAAGACTGACCAATATATGTACTGATCAGATTTTACTTGGTTTAATCAAATTTCAATAAAAATAAGCGCTTATTTGTGTAGCTTACTACACAGTAATTAAAATTGATATGATTGTATTTTTAATCATTTCCTGCTTTTCAATTTTTTGGTTATCTAATTATGGTTTATTTTTAAACCAATTACATAGTTACTTTAGAATGTTCATGAATATTTAATTATTTAAAATTAACTTTCTAAATTAGATTTTCTTTTGAGAATATACTAGTAGTCTAGTCTGTCAGGCCAGAATTTGTGTAGTAAGTATAAATACTTCACTCTTTCAAAGTAGTGTAATTTGGAACATAATTGAGACACATCTGATATATGGTCTAATCTTTATTCATTATTAAACTTGTTATATTTGCCCCAAGAAACATTTTTATTTAAGGGACTATAATACACTTTCAGTTATTACACATAAAATAGTAATATTGAGATTTTTCAAATGATGTACTTCAAAGTCTTTGCTTTGTTTTTATTTTTTAAGTGAACAAGTTACACAGGCTTTTAATTTAGTTCCTTTTAAAGAATTTCTAAAGCATAAGGAATTAAGTCTTTTTTTAGTATTTCAGATATGGAAGGAGTTTCAGGGGATGTGGGGGTCTCTGGGAAGGAGAGTGGGGGAGAAAGAGAAAACAAAACCCAAGCCATAGGCTGTAACCTTTTGTATTAGTTTGTAAAAATGAAAAATACTTTCTTATTTTAAAGAGGTAAGACTCCTAAGTTAATCTAAAACAAACAAACAAACAAACAAACAAACACCCCACCCCCAAGAAACCTCAGATGCTAGTAAGATAACACAAAACAGGAATTCAGTAAATTAGCTGCACCGGTTCTAGTCTTTGAATTTGGAGAACAGTTTATTCTCTATGTTAATAGGCTGGAGATAATTCTATAAGTTTGGTAATTGTTAACATTAATCTTAGCTAATTTTACCATATTTAATATGGAATAGTATCAAGTCATTTTAAAGTTCTGAAGGACGATATTTTCAGTATTGACATTTTGAGTTTAGCCATTGATGTTAAAGATGTCTCTGGTGTGCTGTGAAAATGTAAACTAGATTTTTCTTTTCGTTTTCTAATTGTGATAAGTGGGGGCGGGGCAGGGCTGCTTTAAATTTATTATACTCACGTGTCGTCCTCACACTCATTTCAGGATTCTCAGTTGTGGCGTAGTAGGATCTGAAATATAGCTCATATTAGTTTGTGCTCTTTTAGGACTCTCACTTTCTCCTCTACTTATATTTTTAATAGTTATGGTAAAGTGCACGATTTCTAACTGTCAGGTTTAATGGAATTTTGCTCATTCCCAACCACCATGCCAGCCAGGACAGCTGTTTCAAGTCCCTGGAAGGCTCATTCCTGGTCATCGCTGGCTTTCAATACTTCTTAACATCTACTGGGTTTGGTTCATTATTCAGTAAGGGAAATCGGAAATCATTTTGTTTTATATATATCACTATTATATATTAGAGCTTTATATGTTTGTTAATCCCTACAACAAAACTATACATGTGATTTTATAATCAACGGTGGGGCCTATATATTGTTTTTATGTTGTGCCAGTTTTACTGCATCTTTCCCAGCACAGTGGCCCAGGCTGCATCCCAGCATGGGTGTTCAATTCTTCCTTACCCTCTTCTTCCCTAGCACTCAATTCTTCTGCTTTTAAAGACAGTCATCTCTGGTGAGAGGCAACATCTGTTGTTTGCATTTTACTGAGGACTGGTGATTCTGGGCACCTTCTAATAGGCTTGTTGGTAGTTTGTGTATCTTCAGGAAGGTGCTCTTCTGTCTCCTTTTAAATTTTGCTTATATGGCTTGGTATGCATGTCTATAACCTCAGCTTTGGGAAGTGGAGACTGGAGGGTGGCAGAGTTTGTGGTCAGCCTGGCTGAATAGGGGTCACAGGCCAGCTCCAGAAACAAAGTGATGCCTTGTCTCGGGCATGAAAAATCAGAATGCATTTAACTGCATGCTTTGTGCCGAGCCACATGGCTCCCTTTGTATGTAGGACAATGCCTCTTCCAAGGATAGGAAGTTCTCTCATTCTGTAGTTGTCTTTCCTTTTCTTTATTGTCCCCATTGATGTGGTAGGTTGTTCAATGAATATTGTAGTGAAAAGAAATGCAGCAACATTGAAACATTCTCTCTAGAACTTGGGTTCTCTGTGAAGCTCATACTTGAGCAATGGCAGATGCCTGTTCTTACAGCTCCAGGTGAAATAGAGGAATAGTTCACATTGACACACACTCTCTGCTCTGAGGTCTGTTTTGCTAGAAAACATAGCAACTTCTGGCCTCCTTTGCTTTTGTTTAAACAATAATATATCAATTCCATCTATTTTTAACCTATTTGTACCTTTATATTTAAAGTGCTTTCCTCTTACATCGAATATAGTTGAGGTCCTTCTGCTCTGATTTCTTGGGTCATAGTCTCATGTTAGCCCATGCTGACCTTGGATATTTTTAGTATAGGAAGGTGACCCTGACAGGTCATTCTCTGTCTCCACCTCCCAAGTGCTGGGACTATAGGTGTGCTGCACTGAGCTTGTATGCCAGTTCCTTGCTCCTGCCAAGTCAGCAACTGCTGCCACCACAGCCACCTCTGCCTTCCTCCTCCTCCATTTTCCTCCACCCTCCTCTTCCTCTTTCTTCCCTTCTCTTCTCTGCTATGAAATGATTTTTTTTGTGTGTGTGGAATATAGGAAGTGGAGTTCATTTACTTGAGAACTATATTAGGGAGGGTTCTCTAGAGGAACAGAACTTATAGAATCTATCATCTATCAATTACCTATTTATCTATCATCTATCAATCATCTATCAATCAATCATCTATCAATCATCTATCAATCAATCATCTATCAATCATCTATCTATCTATCATCTATCTATCTACCATCTCTCTATCCATCTCTACCACCTACCTAAAGGGGATTTATTATATCTATCTATCATCTATCTCTCTACCATCTCTCTATCCATCTCTACCACCTACCTAAAGGGGATTTATTAAAATGGCTTACAGGATGTGGTCCAGCTAGTTGAAAAATGGCTGTCTATCAATGGAAGGTCCCAGATTCCTATGGTTGTTTAGTCCACTTGTTCCATGTTCTCTGTCTATGCTGCCAGCAGAAGCCCAGAGTAAATGTGGATCTTCCTGCCTCAAAAGATCAGGATTAAAGGTGGGTCTTCCCACTTCAAATGAATTAGTTAAGAAGTCTACCCAGCCTTGGGTTTTAGATAATTCCAGATGTAGTCAAGTAGATAAATAGCTTATTTCAACTTGACACACA